AAACCACCAACATCAATAATTTTTAAAAATAGAATCAAGGTTCAAAGATCAAGCTCTCTTTTCTCAGAAACCAGGAACAAAGAGGAATGGAATACAAATGGTGGCAAATAACGATGAACATAATGAGCGTAAACAAATTAGTGACAAGCGCGTCAGGCAGGGTTAAAATGACGAACTTACTAGTGGGAGAAAACGGGAACGGCGTGTGCGGTACGGTCTGAGGAAAATATGGTTTTCCGTATCGAGAACACTATATGTTCAAATAAAGTCACTGTTTTTTAGGATACCACAGATACCAGTATAAACATACATTAAACATTCTGATTATTGGCTAAGAGAGACACATTAAAGTGAAGTCGAATTATAGGCCCCTATAAATGTATGAAAATACACGGTACATAGACATTTCTTTGCTAATCTGTGGTTGGCACTTTTGCCAGCCATGGCTTGGCAAACTATGCATGGTCTAGGCCTACATTGCAAAAAAGAATATACTTACAACTGTTTCCAAACATATCATGTGATTGTTGAAAATACGAAATATCCAAATAACCAACGCTACCAAAGACGTAATAACAAAATGCCTCTTCCTTACATTATGAATATTGAGCAACTTTTTGGTCAATCTTTTGCCAATCACAGCTTAAATTTATGCCCTTGTAGCAGCCCATATAAAATGGGGTTCAATGTTCACAAACGAAAGACATGTCTACAGTACACAAACAAGGAATGTTAACAAATTAATCATTAAGCCGAAAACTTTTGTCGATCACATCTGATTCTTGATGGATGCAAAAGCACGTATCAACGTCGAATGTTAATTGGTACCTGCCACAAATTTACGTAGCGCCCTCTACCGAATTTGTGCAACGTGCCCAGTCGAACCATCATCAAGCACCACAGCAAGCATATCCCATGGACCATCAAAATTGCGACATCGCTGTCCAATAAGCTCTGCGCAGAGTTGATGCTGCGTACAGGTACAGTGCGTGCATTCTTGTGCCATGTCCGAATCAGTATAATGTCCTGGTTGACTATGGCTTCGGTTTAGCCATTGGCGGTTGGCGCACCATGAGAAGCCGTATCCACAGCCGTAGAGCGGCCCGTTGCGGACCTCATGGCATTCTCTTCTGTGTGTCTACGTAAGACATGCACAATGTCCGTTGATGCTTGGTAACCCAACTCCTTTCTAGTTGCCGCAACACTTAACCAACGGCTGTCTAATCCCAGCCTCATTCATCAGGCAACCCTTGCTGACTGAATCCTATCGCCGTATACCAGCCTGCTTATGCATGCTCAGATGACACATTCCATGTCGGCCCATCCATCTTCATTACGCTAAATAAACACACACTCACCTGTTTGACTGATTCAAGCTCATTATTTATGGCCAGAAAGTCGACTTATCTAGTAGTATCTAAGCGCAAGAGAATGGGCTGTGCCTTAGTTTGCTTATCAATTTTTTTTATTCGAAATAAATTTGAAGGGCCTTGGTAAATGCTGTAAATTCCTCTAATATACAAAATCAAAATTTGCTGTGCAATTTTCTCAAAATTGTCTAGCTCACAATTTGAGCCAATGGTTTCACAGTGCAGTATTCATGAATCAGTCAATATTTCCTTGCCCTATATTTGAATCCAGACCCGTGATCACTGTAAAACACAAGAGGCCCCCTTCAATGGAGAAACCACTGTTCACGCTATTGTGCTAAGCAATTGCCCCATGACGGATTATCTGAACAATAGCTAGCGCACTGCTTTCGCCATTGAAGGGGGCCTCTGTGTTAGAAGTGATCATGGCTAGAATGGTCTTAACCATACATTGATACGTCTCAACAACCAACTGTGGAAAATCCCTTATATTATAAACTTCATAATAATGGTTCTCTCTCGAAAGTCAATCCACGAAAGGGTTACACCTGATACGATAGTCGCCTACAGGTACAAAATAAATTCTTGTGCATTTTGTGATGGAGATATATGGGTCGCAGTGGACCGGTCACCTGTTGCATATACCCATTTTTATTCCGTTGAGGCTGTAAATACTCCGGACCGTATCTGGCTGTCCGGCAAACTGGCCCCTGGCACCAGGCCAAATTACCACGGTCCTTAAGTTTTACAGCGGGACTAGGGTACCCCCACGGGCCGAAGGTTATTGCACCGGGTCGGGGCAGGAGCCCTTGGGTAATACCATGGAGCTATTGGTAATACTGTGTGGAAACGCCACTCGTAGTACTTTTCTTGTCGTCCGAAGACTGACGTTTTCAACCAACAGAAAACAACTCGAATTTTTGAGAAAGTTGCTCTATAAGGTACGATGACTTTACACAGTTTCTTTTGCTTGCTGTCTGCTTTCTATAAAGTATCATTCTTGATGACCTACCAACTACCAAGATTGCTGGCTTTTTTTCCCGTAAAAAATAGAATATTGACCTTAAAAAAGCGAAAGTCTTTCGTGTTTGGTGAGTCCACATAACACGATGCAAAGTTATGAACAACGACCGCAAGGAAATTGACTAACCACAAGGGGCAGAACTTGATGGTCCTCCACCCTCGGCCTCGGGAGACACAACCACACAGTCCGGATTCGCAAACCCACGGCTCGAGTGCAAGGTTACACCATACCACAGATTCTGCTCTACTCGATGTTGTACCATTATAGGCTCGTACTACTCGGTGTCGGGTTAGACTTGGTTCAAGTTTGCACTGCCAATTAAAGAGACTGGCAAAGTCCCTCACAAAATAGCGCGATTTTGCACGGTATTATCAGTACAACCAAGAATAACCGAGTCACACTCAAACGCGAGCATGGATTAGGGACATAATAGTATTCCCATGCAGCTATAATTATAGGTACCCCGAGCGAAAAAGGACACCCTGCATGACAACACTTCCCTGGTCGAAGATACTCTCTGCCTAAAGTACATTTTTTTCTGAGCTAGGCCTATATGCTACTAAATTAATGTGTGACCTGCCGTACCACAACTTTTACAGTCGGTTTTTGCCCGTAACACTTTCTTCCTTAGCAATACTGCACATGTGCAAATATTACAAGACAGCTTTGAAGTATGTCACGATGTGAATTACATTTTTGAATGATTCGTCTTGTTTATTATTGTTAAACCGCTAGTAGATATAGACCTAGTGGTAATTACTTAAACCAGTTTTAGGTAAGTTAAAGTCACTCGTAATATCCACGGGGTCATTCTATATCTCGTCCCACGAGACGGAATATTTCCGACGAGAGAAGAGTGACCGACAGTCGGCGGAGGAGAGGGTCCAGGAGAGACGGGGTCGAGGTGGTGTCTCGCCCCGCTCTGACCACCGCAGGCCACTGCGCTGATAGAACACAGCAGACACATCTGATTGATGGGCAAGCCGCTGCGTCCCCCGGGCACACCATTAAAACCCCATTAAGCACCCAGGAGGGCAACCAGCGCAGCGGAAACGGTGCCGTGTCGGAAGACGAAAAAAGGAGCAGAGCTAGAAATTCTGGTCGACATGTCTCAAGAATGTTATTTGCTGCGCGCTCAGGCCGCCTCAATACTGATGACGACAGGGGTAAATCGCTTCAGTATCAGGGAAACTAGGGCAAAATCACTACCTTGACCAGATATCCTGAAATTCCTTCTATACAGTTCTCAGTAAATTCTTGTCATCCTAAAAAGTACGGTAACTTAGATCGTGCAATTTCGACATAGGCGCACACCGATCTTAGCAATCGTTTCAGCACTGCGCACACCGAGTACCGGTACACGATCACGATGCACAAAACAAAAGAAGATTACAGGCTGGTGTGACACTCCCTACCCTTCAATAAAAGACCAGGACTTTTCTGCTCTTAATTATAAGAAACCAATTAGATGTAGGACTGGTTTTGCAACAGGCCTGGTTCCACTGGCTCAGGAGCAGACTCCGCCTTCATTAGCGTTCCTGGAACTTCGGAACCAAGAACGCACGCAAAACGCATTATCAGAAGCTTATGCTGCCTTATTACTCGATCGGTATAGGCCTAACTCATTAAGGCTCTTTTGGCGTCAGTTTTAGCTGGGGAAAATTCGTCAAACTTTCGATTCAGTGTCGACCTCTGTATATTGCAACGCACGGAGACGGTCACATGATGTATGAATGAACTCTTCATGCAGTCGACATCACTAGAAACAGCACATTCCGGTCACAATACCAGTACTGTAAATTTGTTGTATAGCAAGGCTTAGGGTTTTTACTCCGTGCCGTGCCCTAATGTTATATCCTCTCTGCAATGGAAGGGCCGGGGTGAGACAAGTGAGAAAATCTCAGTAAAAGACCTTTTCACGTAGCCGAAATCTTTTCGGGCGACTACAAAAAAATGGTAGTAAGGCCTGGTCGGTCGCCTGACTCAACGTTCAATAATGTACGGATGCAGTCTAGAATCCAGATTTGGTAATTACACTCTGGAGAAGAGGGGATTTCCAATGATTGCTTTGTGGTCAAAATTTACCTGGAAAAAGAGTGGCTTAATTTATCCCCTGTGTCGAGAAGTCATTGGTTTTCCTGTATATCAGGGAATTCATGATTTTAACTTCCTGAAACAATGACTATACGAAGTTTAAAAAAATCAGCCGCCATAAAAGTCAGTATCAAACTGAAATTTCTTGTTTACATACGGAACAGGAAGCACAATGGTTATAAAAAATTGAATGTGTTTAATATTTTCATAAGTTGTGATCTGAGTGACTCACTTGTAATATTTCCAAAACAACTTTGTCCTCTTATTTGGGCACTTTTAGGAGACACCCACACGTGTTTAGTAATAGAAGTTATTTGGTGCTGCATGTAACACACTACCACATCCGATCTGCGCTAAGAGCCCATGGGATTTGTTGCTGGCTTTACTAGACTGCCGCCAGCGGTCCCTGAGGTGTCTCGACGCGCAGGCGCAATGACACGGCAAAGCGGTGACCTGAACCCGTCAAGTAGCCGCACATGTCATGATATGATCATGGCTTACAATATCCTTACTATAACTGGTGCTATGGTAAAGCAGCCAGCACTACATGAATGGAAGGCATATTTCTGTAAACACGACAGACAGAGGGATCGTTGTAAAACGGACAGCTCCATACCGCGACACACTTTTGCCACCGTTAATGATGATGATGATGATGGTCCAAAATGTCCGGTTCGATAGTTGAAAACGCGTTAAGTTTCTCTCGTTTGTCCTAAAGGAACCGTCGCTAAATTTCAAGTACTTTCATAACCCTTTGCGTTACTGTATTAACAATATTTTTTAAGTCGCACAAAGGGTGCTTGCATTTTGACATCCTTGTGTTGACATATTTTACGGTTGCATTGTTACCAGCAATTTTAGGCCAGCACTGGACAGCAGAAATCTTTTCCAACCAAGGCTTGCCTTACCGGTGGAGACCCCGCGAGACCAACGAAGCGACTTCTCCGGACTTTTTCTGGGCAACCGTTTGTCGATCGGTTTTGCCATCGCGAGGCCGCGGACTCCGTGGATGAATTAGTGGAGCAGCGTGATGGAGCACTCACTGTACGGGGGCGGCACGGCGCCAGTCCTGCACCACTACCCTGGTGGTTTGTCCACCAGCTCGCAACTCCAACATGCGTCTTACCAGGTGATTATCTCTATCTATCTATATTGCAAACAAAAGCAACATTCTTTTCGATCCATTTTTTTTTTCGGGGGGGGGGGGTTAACATTACAATGCGTTTTGCACTAATTGTTGATAAATGTATCAAACTATCATTGTACGTACTTAGTGCACTCACCCACTCAAATAATATTATTAGTCATGTTAGAAATAATATTCCTGTATAACTTAAATCAATACATATATTTATATAGTGTAACACACTTTACTAAAATATTTAATTCACCAACAAGATTTTTTCACCATGCACATTGCGAAGCCATAGCCGTGATTACTGCCACAGGAAGATATGCTAAATATACCTACAGTGTCATTTCATTTAGGTGTTATAATGGCATTGCAATATTATGCCATGGCATAAAATGATGCACTAGAACGAATGTGCACCCAGCAAATTCAGGAATTGTTACTGCAAGAGGAAAATGTCTATACTGTATTCATTATGAATCATTGCAAATAGTGATGTTATTTAAAGTCTAAATTTAGAATGGCGTATTCATCGGAAATAAAAGGAGTGAGCGAACTTTGAGAAGGAAAAATTGTTCTGTGTGGGCCAAATATTTAAAGTGACATGATGTTATTGTAAATAAAAGTAACGATAGCAGACGGAGTTTGGCTAAAATGCAAGCTATGGCGTAGCTCGGTATTCAGACTATTAGTGAAAAGTATCAGAGTACTATTATGAAGGATATATATAGGAGTACAAAATAATTAGAGCATGTCTTAATATTATAAGTAGTAGTAGAAGTAGTAATAGTAGTAGTAGTAGTTCATGGCTTCTTCTCGGATATTATTACCTGCTCATTAATCCGTGTCTGAAACACAGTAGTGATGATATCGCGTATCGCCCATCCACTGCACTTTGTGTGATATGACATGGCTGGCGAGTCGTCCACACCACAAAACCAGATGTTTGCGAGCTTAAGATTTCATCTCCATCATCGGAATAATAACTTGTGCTTTCCTGACTTTCCGGTGACTTTAGATATTACACACAGCGTGTGTTTTTATTTTTAAGGGAGGGAATGATACAAGTTGGTGCGGGGTTCACTGGCTAGTTTCCACCGCGTCTACGTGTCTCTCGTCTCGCTACCAATTTGTCTTGAAAGGATTTAGACGAATAAAGCAAGGGCTTATTTTGCTTTTTCTCCCCCACCATTCAATCACAAGACACACTACCCAGTACCTTGTCAGTTTAAGTTGCAGGAAATACAATGATCCTGTGCCCGGGTTCTGGGCCTATTCAGAAATCTTGTTTCCGGTTTTGTTTCCATTCTGGTCGGACTCTCAAGTCCAGGGCCAGGGTCACGGGTTTTTGTCACGATGGGGCTGCATCTGGTTAGACTCCTCGGCCGTGGTTTGCTTCACATTGACCCACGAATCAACCGAGGCGGCCTGCTCCGGGAACGAAAACCAAGAAGCAAAATACCGGAGAGGCAGGAACTAATTCATTTGAAAAGTGCTCTTGATAAAGTTGAAGGCTTTACCCTTGGGCTTCGTGTCGAAGGAATGAATCTGACAAGTACATATTGCAGTCCGGGGAACCCGACTGAAAGTGTATTTCAATCGCACATACAGCGTCAATGTTATGAATATACATGTAGGTGGAGGAATTCACTGTATGCAGCGTTTAACCTCCAAATGAGCATCAAAATGAAAACACGTTCCTGAGCAAGTTGTGTATCTATCATGTATTGCAGGATGACATTACCCTTTCATTTGATTTCTAAGTTTACATTATGTGTCCTTCCACTTACACCTTAGTTGGCATTCTGTCTGTAACAGAATAAAAGTAAGATTTTTGAAGGTGTAGATTATGATAAAATATACCAGAAATTATGCATTGCACTAAAATGTCCACTTCCCATTGCTAGGTATTTAGTTTTGAAAACAAACTAAATGTAGAGCTTAATATTTGGTGGAGTTTCCTTGTAGTTTTAATCAATAATTTCAGTTTCAATGGCGTTATTACGCAATGAGTTTCTGTAGGGTTAGGTATGTAAAATAAAAAAAAAGGTTAAGCCAGCAGATTTCCTACGAAAGTTGCACGTGAATTTTGCGTCATAATCCGCTCGATTCCTGCTCAAAATAACCGCATTTGTTGGCAAATTTTCAGCTATTGAGGGTAGCTTCCTTTTTTGAAGCACTGGGCAGGCACGTTGGGAATAAAATAGAGCTCAGGAAACCAGAATTATTTCCTCTTTGGAGTTAAACACAAAGAAGAAAATGCCATCGATTGCAATCACGAGATGGTGAGATGTTGATGTTATCAAAAAACCGCTGCGATGTCGCAAAACAATGCACTTTTGTGAAACATTCTTTGGAAACATAAACCCCTGTGGTTATTTTGGGTCGTATTTGAGGCACTTTGAAAACGAACTATATTTAGAGGGGAAAAAGTGTGAACATTGCTAGTACAAAGTTTAAGAGCAATACAGAGAGAATGGAATCACATTTTGTTGTGTTTAAGTTAAACTTGCACTGTAGTGTAAGTGAATACAGAGATAGTAAACTTCGAACTCCGCAAATCAGCAAAATGGTTAGATAAAAAGAACGTCTCTGGCCGATATACCTGTAAAAAACATTACTATACTAGACCCTGTTCAAGCCGATACATACAGGTAAAAAATAATACAAATGTCCTGTTTCGGGTGAAATTTGTAGTCTCTTCAATTCTTGTCGTTTTGTTTTGTTAGTTTCTTCTTTTAGATCGCTCTTTAATGATAGTCTTTAATTCAGCCGTCCATTGTTACTTGAGTCACCTTTTAACACGACTCTGCCATCAGTTCAAGCATAATCAAGCTGATTTAAATATTGTGATCGTAAAACCGACTGATTTCGCGGCCACGAGCTTCCCACAAATTCTCCCCCGATCTCGGCCTTGGCTAACATCGACAGTTTACGACAAATTTTACCATGGTTTTTACCAACCACCAAACCAACTTATTTCCCTGCCCGTGAACCGACAGTTCACACCGCCTCTTACCCTATAACTCGGGCCGAGTTCGCGACGTCGCCATTCACCGCATTTGTCCCGCCCCGTCACGGGCCCGCCGCCGCTAAACGACACTGACATTTGCGCGCCTCGGACGGAATGAAATTTTTATTATTTAAAAGATTTATTGTCTCACGTTAATTTATTCCCGCGAAACGGTACCTTTTGAAGTGTTTTACTGGACTGTCTTCAAGGTGCACTTTTTGGGCAAGGTCTAAACCTGTTATGTACTGTACTAGTTAGTAACTGTACACATTGTTCTTAGATTTGCGGTCTTTTAATATTGTCTTTTTTTACCTTGCGGTTTACACTGAAGTTTCAAAGATAATGTAAAAGTTTTCATGAAAGTATATACCACATATGTTTTGCCATAAAGCCCAATTACAACATACAACACGTGACAAATAATGAATTATCAAAATGACAAAACACCCGACCTGTGTTGGAAACTATCCTGAGTTGACGATTGTTTAAATCTAACCGGATCACATTTCAGCTCTGTGGATAGTACACTTTTGGAGAAAACAGTGAAAAACCATGCACGACCTATTGGCCACGAAACACAATTTCGTCCACAGCACTCTTTATTTCCAACTGATCGAAGAAAATCACCTACACACGGTATAACATTTCTTGATTTCATCTAAATGACAGCAAGCCAGACGGAATGATTTCACGGGGTGTTCAGTACCAGTACGATCTTTTATCCAAGTAAGGCTTTTTTATAATAATTCGGTACTAATCGGTAGGTTACTTTTGGGCTAAATATAAAATGATCTTACAATGCATATGCCTTTAAGTAACCGTGTAACCATTATATTGTGCAACCGTTATATATATTGTGCATGATTCATACTATAATTCCTCTTTATAATAACTGACCACAATTTTGAGAAACTCCGGAAGAGTGATTGCATCTCTTCATATTATGAATGGAAATGCTAGTTGCCCTCGACCTTGTGTTGTCATAGATCATGAAATGGGCGGATATACCATTCAAGGTAATATACATTTGCAAGCATCAAAATACAAAACTACCAAATATTATAAAATACCTTACTTGATTCAAGTTGACTGTAAGTGAATAACAGTCTCAAGCATCTTTGAAATCATGGCACCTGATTTTGGCTGTCATTTTCAAGAATCAAGATGAGTGGAATTTTTGTATTAATTTCTAGTGATCGGCTGGTCATCGTTGGAGAAAACTGCTTTTTTTTTAAATACTGCCCCATTTACCAAATCTAGTTAGTCCACATTTTGTTTGCAATTGTTAACACGTACATCCGTGAATGAGTACAAGCCAGCTAGTCTGGTTCCCTGACCTGACAATTCCCAGACGTCTACAAATTGCTCTGTTTCGCCTGAAGTAGGGCCAGAGAACCAGACTACAGGAACAGCAATTCTTTTCTTGGTTTTCCCAGCATCTATGAACACAACACTTTAAACAGGCTCAGTGTAACAATACTTGCTATAAATAAAATATACTAACCCCAAATCTATCAAATTGCTGCAAAACAAAATGTTATATTAGGCCTATATAGACCTATTACCTTCAAAGGGGTATGGACATCATTTGAAATTCACAAAATGTTTATTGCAAAATCAAGTATAAACGTATTTTATCTCAGAACACTTTTTAACATAAGTCCATGTTTTGGTATAGAAGTTGTCAATAATTAACATTAACTCGAAATGTCAGACTGTGCTGAACATTTCTTTTATGCAACGAACATGCACTGGAATGATATCCTGTAGAGTATTGAATCAAAGATAATTTCCAGAAAAAAAAGGAGAGGAAGATTTGCCTCTTGAAGATTTTCCATCATCACCCATTAGGGAAATGGGGTATTTTCTTGTCAAAAGGGAGATGGCATCGTTACCTGATGCGTCTTTGTTTGTGGTGTTTGAAATGAGGGGAAAGCGACCCTTGCCCGAGTTGTCCAGCTGCCATCATCGATATCAAATCCTGTCCTCATTTTTAGAAAACGGTGGGCAAGGTAACACAGGTCAAGCATTTTGATTGAACTGAGAGACTGTGGCTGTGGTTTCGAGCCTTGAAAGTACAGTCATGAATATCCAATACTGCAGCTTACTGTGTCGGGCCTGATGCTGGAGCCGGATTTCAGAAATGGCCATTATTGATGCTCATCGTTTTATCAGTTTACCGCAATTTCTATCAATGCAACTTTCTCTTCCATTATTTCTCATCAAAATAAGAACCAGATTTTCAGCAATGTAGGCTCATTCATTTAACGTCAGCACTGACTTCATTAATTAGCATTTTCTCGTTTGATTTTTTTCCTGCGGTTACTGCATGTACAGGGCAACGCAAAATGGTTACAACGAAATGTCCCTCATCAAGCCAGCAATTAATGAATCTGAACTCAATAATGTTCTGAGAAAGGGTTTAGTGCTTTTTCATTGTTTTTAGCACAAGAAAATAACAGCTTTGAGAATTACTGCCACTTTGGTGTCGGGTCAGTACAAGCTCATGTCTGTTTGTGTGGGTGAGTTCTTGCTCATCTCGCGTGCAGGCTACCGGCAGCCCGTGCGTCCGGCGGCCTCCCCGATCCCATCTCCCAGTCTTCCCGGCGCTGGTGTCTTCCTCTCTTCGTTCTGTCATTCCGCAACAGCTCTCAACGTTCGTTCACAAATCTCACAGTCTCGCTCCGGAAACCATTACTCTGTACAAGTGTGGGCGATTCAGTTATTCTTGGCTTTAGGATTTTTGTTTTAAATGCTTGTAGGAGGAAGATCTGGTCTGGTGTTTCAACCGCGAAGGTCGGCTTTTTTGTGTAGGAAAAAAGTACGCGAGCCGCGGAACGCGACCCCGGATGTATTCTACAACATGCGAGCATATTACCGGCACCAGACCAAGGTCGAAATAACAAGGGCGACCTAGATCAATGAACAATAGCCCCCGCACTGTTGTTGTTCTTCGATATTATCTATCTTTGTTCCCAGCTTTTTGCCGTAAGATCAACTTGAAAGCTGCGATATGAGTTAAGGTGACCATAAGTTGTTATTTCATCGACACCGATTACTTGTCATTACAGAATATTTCCTGTATGTGTTGCTAGGTCTTTATCACTGATTTCTGTACACCTTTATGCACGAAATATAATTAAAGGGTACATGCAATGAATTTTTCTTGGGAAGATATTCTGTGCGACTTTCTCCTCCTCTTCAATGTATGAAAACTATTTGACATCCATTTTTGGTTAATTTTATTGAAAGTGCACTTGTTTAACCTTTTAAAATTGTCCATGCTTTTCCGGACAACCGATGGCGCTGTTGCTGTGACGTCATTTTAGGAAGACACTGTTCAGTTTACTGTTTTTGTGCTCAAATTGTTAGCCCAACAATTTACTCATTGAAAAAAGAATTGTGAAAACAAAATTTGCTCTTTGGCTTACCGCCAAGCCATGTAGGCCTACTGACACAACGAATCACTTTGAAAGAAAACGAAATGTTCGACTGTACAGCAAAATATCCAAAATTCTGGCCTTTTTTGGTGCAGAAGTAGCTGTAAATACTGAGGTTTCTGCCTAAATCGCATCACTCGTTTGCTCATGAATATGGAAATTCGCATTAATTAGCATACAAAACCAAAAAGGCACCAAAATAACCTTGAAATTGCAAAACGAAAATTGAAAATGAGGTTAAAATCAATGGGACACAAAGGTGTATTGTCAAAGATTGCATTAACAAAATTACATTGCATGGGCCCTTTAATGTCCTCTGAACTCTTACAAACTAAGAACACTGCCACCTTATAATGGGAAGCATATTGCTTGTGTCTATAGCTCCCAGCTTTTTTTTATAGGTCTCACTAAACTTTTCTTATTGGCATTTTCTGCTTATCAGCCCAATGCAATTAGGCTTATACAGTTCCCTTTTTTTCAGGCCTCGTTAATGGAATGATTTAGCGACACTGACAAAGTGGACTAATTATAGAACTCGTCAATTGAACGGTGCCTTGGGAATTGGTTGTAGTCATGTACGACCAAGTTCGTATGCGGAACCTTGTCGCTGAAAAAGGAAATTAAAATTATGACTTTTCTTCTGCATATTTTAGGTGTTTTAAGGGAAATAAAAAACATTAGGGCCTATACATCCGCGTTAAAGAATATATTTGACTATTTAAGGCGGGATGTATTTTTTTATGTACATGTAGCCTATACTTGTACGACAAAACATTCAGGCACATCATAGTGGCTTGCATCATCAAGTAACAAAATTACAAAATGACAATTTTGTCTTGTGTACGCCCGTTTGCTGCGTACAGAAGTTTTGCAAATGGTCATGTGTATTGATATATGTCTTGCTATTGCTTTGAATGTTATTTTTTTAAAAGTTTTTTAAGTGAGGTTTACGAATCAATGTGAGGAGTGACATTTCTTTTCTCGTTAATAAACTTTGCACTTAAATACTCAGTGTGATGCTCATTAATTTAATTATTTTCATTAGTTTGTCTTCTTTGTCTTTGTGCCCCGACTTCAAAATGAATTTACCTTTGGACCAAAACCTGGAAAGTATATTTCTCTCAAAATGTATCCCTAAATTATTGTCTTTTAATACATTGACATCAATCCACGATGTAGCACAATCCAATGCATAATCTATTTGCATCATCGCATTAAGTTCAAAACCAAAGTTTACCAAACATGCGTGAATATAAGGTCACTTGTAGCTCGGAAACATAACAAGTTTCTCTCTTTTTGACATACAGCGAGGGTTAACGAGTGCCTACTTGCCCTTGGGCAGTGTGCCCTACCAACCGTCCCACCAGCCCACCAGCCAGTACCACTCACTCCAACACGACTGGCCCGGCGTGCACGTGCCGAGCACCGCCGACCACTCAGGGAGCATCTCCGCCTCGCACACGGTAGGCAACATGACCATGTGCCACCCGACCACGCGTAATGACTATCTGACTATTACCTCACCAGCGCTGGTTGATGCGAGTAAAGTCCGTGGAGGAGGGACGGGAGGAGGCGAGGTTGGAGGCAGCGTGTCACCCGAGTCGGTACCCAGCCCGACGGGGCAGAATAACGGGGTGATGGACGGCGGTCGTGAGGACCACGCCTCGATGGAAAAAGGAAACCTCAAAAAGGGTAAATATGTCACCTCATTTGATGATTGATATACATTTTCTATGTTGGTATTACTAATTTGTTCTTCATCGTGTTCCTATTCATCATTTCATTCATCAACCTAAAGATTACTGCGGGGAAGCCTAAACGGATATCGAGGTACTGCACGTGCAAGAAAGAGTGGTATATCTTTTCGGTAATGCAGAGGACACTGCGCCCTTTAAGTTGATCAAACCGGAGTGTTCAAAACGTCGATTTAATCAGTTCTTCTCCGAACCACACACAATTCACCGAAGAGACAGGCCTACATGGTACTGGCAGGAAACTCCTCATCAATCCACTACATGTGCATCTATTCATTTTTTTTGCCTGGTTAATCGTGGTATGCTGCCGGGTATGTGCGTGCATTCTGCTCGGGGTACGAGTGCATTCTGTCAACGCCAGCTCTCGTGCATGTTCAGGGGGCAAGGGGGCATGGTGACAATTTTAGCCAGGGGTGGGGGCACTGTACCGGGCACAGTCACCACCCCTGGCGGCCCCTACCCACAGCTAGACTATACAAGTACTGTGTTATCACCAAAGGTACTTTATATCATGTCAAACGGAGCGATCCCTCCCACTGTTTCTGTTTGGTGTAAGGGATTACAGCGAATAGTTTCACCGTGTTCAAAACCATCTGGTGATCTCTTCTGGAGACTCCACCGGTTACAACTCCATCACGGACGGCGTAGAACATTACACTATACCAAACAAACATGCAAATCTCTCGATACGAAAATGGATTCTAAACTTAAAGGCTCCGGAGATCTTCTCAAACTTACTGTTTCAGTAAAATATTCGACATAATCCCTCTTTTGTATCGTTGAGATAGCTCTAACCTTAAGCAGAAGTCCATTCTGAAAATGTTCGTGTCTTCCAATTTGTTTTAACAATAAATTATAGGGTGAATAAAAGCACACGACATGAACTTCAATTCGGAAATTGAAATTATCATAACCTCCAGATATCATTATCTACAGTCGTGTAAATATAAGAAACCTGAAAACAATTAACCCGCAGTTTGCAATCCCACTTTAAAGTGTATCGTTGCGATGGTTGCACCACATTTGTTCTAATTGTGTCATAGGGCAATTATACTTAACATTTTACTTACGCAGTGTTTCATCAGGCATCTCAAACGAAAATATTCAAAAAGGGTGTCACCGTATCGAAAGCTCATTACATGGCATTTCTACGGTTAAACCCGTCTTAGTCCTCAAATTGTCAGTTCGACACGATCAATACAGTTGTGCACACAAAATATTCTTACGAACCAAACAAGAACGTTCCTAATTTTAAAACAAAAACAAAACTTTGACGAATGAATTTTTCTATAACATTAGTTTTCACATTTTGTCTTAACCAAGTATAATTTAAGTGGTGAATATCCAACTACTGTTGGACGGGTTGAGACTTGAGTAATACCGATTGCCTCCCATGCCTTCGGTATGCCCACATTTATATGAAAGCTTTGGAATGATGAAATCGTACAGACTATAACAATATTTTATTTGGTTCCTCAGTCTACTCATATCAGCCACGGACCTGTTTAACTACGCAGGGCACAAATTCTGACTTCGTTCCCATGTCTAGTCCCCTTCTCACTCTCTAGAACAGACATTTCATCTGTGCAAATCGGCACTGGTAATTTTTTGGCGAGCAAAAGTACAAGGGTCAGTGGAGACCCTGAACTTCACATCTCGGATGCCCCCCCCCCCCCATTCCATCGCCTTCGCTCGTTCATGGTGGATGACGATGAGAAGGAGAGACGGACCAGATGTTCTTGGCCGTGACTCGCCCCGGGCGCTTCTCTCTTGAAATGCCTCTTCTGTGTCCTCTGACGGCAATTTTTTTTTTGGTCAGATATTATGATGGAATTGGGTCGGCGAAAGAAAGGCCCAGGTCGATACCTCAGGCTATGGTGGCATCCATATTTTATTTACCTTACATCCGGACTTGTTAACGGGGTTCGTGATGTGGAAAGGTAGACTGAGAACATCCATGAATCGGTCTCTGACCCTGTGCACCGTGGCTATAGAGTCGACTCGTGCACATGCTTTGCAAACCATGTCAGTTTGTTTATAACTAAAGCGCCCTCTGACGGTAGCACTCCGACAATATCTATATATTGTTTTTTTCGTCAAGAAAGTGGAAATCGGTACATAATTACAAAGCAGTTTTAATGGTTACACTCTAAAAAATCTGAATCCAAATTTGCACAGTCCTTTTCCGGGTCAAATATGATTCCTTTTGGGGACCAAAATGGCATTTTCTAGGTCATTTTGACCCCCCAAAGTGTCAATTTTACCCGGAAAAGGACTGAGCAAATTGGAATCAGATTCGGGATAAACCTGACCTAGCAGTTGTTAAACTGTACACTTTAGCAAACCATTAGGTTTGAGGAGAAAACAGTCCAACTTGCACCCAGCTGACTGCTTTAAGCTGGGTTGCAAGGTGTGCCTTTTTCCAGTCACTATAATCTTTTTAATAAATATAATTGGAAAATGTGTCGCATATAACAGGGTGAATTAAATGTCCAAGCATAGTGCTGTGCTCTTCTCTGCGGCTTATTCTTGGAAAATTTCGCCTTCCATGCCGCCATCTTGGGTGATAGCGTTTGTGTTTTGTGATTCGTGTCAACATCAAAATTAGTCTTTCCCAAGTCGTCGTTCGTGTAACACTTCTCGTTGTGGTTCATTGTGAATGGCGATATTATGCAGCATCTAAAGCTTGTCTTGAAGAAATTCCATTCGTTTCACTTTCATTCCTGCTTTGTGTTACTTCATGATTTATGACAGGTCGGCCTCAATAAAATGCAGACCAAGAAATCAGCACGATTTTGTTTGTGGGGTGGGGGATTCCTCATGACTTGCTTTACGTTTCTGGCATCTTGGCGCGAAGCAAAGGTGTTCACTGGAGAGTGTTCTTTTTCAGAATCCCGCGTCTTTTCTTGGCGTTTTTATTGCCTCAGTAGCAATCAAATCAAAGACGAAGGACAGAACGTCGAGTAGTGCAGTAGCCGTGGCGAATATCAAACAGAGCTAGAGACTCGGGCGCCCGAGCAGGCCGTGCTCGAGCGGGGAAACCTAAATCTTCTCCGGACCGCGGTGAAATGTTAGCGTGGCTGCGAGCCGAAGTCTCGCCCGTGCTGTACCGCCGTGAATCACGGAGTAATATATGGCTCCCTGGGTATCTCCGTAACCCTGCGCTGTGTCTTCAACTCCGGACCTTTCCCCGACACTCTCTGCGAATGAACTGATTCCAAAACACGCATCCCTGGTCGTAAATCTGTCACTGTTTTCCGCGGATTTCTTTCAATTTTTGTTTACTACTGAGGTATACCTTTTGTATATAAAACAAAAAATGGTACGGGTCCAATTCGTGTTTCTGTTTGCGTGCATAGATATTTATTTGTCAATTGATATATTTCAGTGCTTGCTCTTGTGTTCAAGTTAGGTTGATTTTTTTAGGGAAGGAAAATAACATAATCAGGTTATTTTACATAGATGGGAACAACAGTGACACATGCTCATGAACACACACCAAAGCTGTACCTGGTTTAATTTGGCCAACGGTTATGCATGTCCAACACCGTTAATATTAATGTTGGCTGAGCTGAACGCACACAAGCGTACCTAATGTTGGAAACTGCTAGGTTATGGACTTTATGCGCGAGTCGGTCATATTAAATTAAAATCGAAGTAAAAATTTCATTTTTGGGAACTTACGAAGAGAAATAAATGCAATGACAGAAAGTATGTTACAAATAAATACCAGTCTGCTCAGATGAATAAATTAAAATTTGTGATCAAACATACCCTAACGTTTAGAATGCATAAATAGTCTGGCACCATCCCATTCAACAGTTCACAATTTACAAAATACATTCAGGGAACACGACAAAATGGCCTCCTCGCGAATAAGGTCCATAGGTTCTACTGTGCATTTAACAGAGAAAGGATCATAAATGTCTGCTAATACTCAATAGACTTGTCCAGTTCACAGCCATGTCAAGTGCTTTGCATGAAATCCGAAAGAAGCCCCCCAAAAAGAGTTTGTGAGTTCAGTCACACCAAAGAACAAATACACAGGACCTCGTTTCAACAAACAACACTCCAATTACAGCATGAAATGTGGGAGAAAAGAACAAAACATCTAGGCTACGCATCACTCGTCAATCTCTCAGTTAAAGGTGCGCAAAGAACTATGCATGTATGTCACTTGACGGTTTATGCTGTAGGCTACAGCACATATCCTATTCGGTTGTTTTAAAGAGAAAAAAACGAAGAAGACGAAGCGTCCCACCTGAGACATACGCACACAAAATTTGCCGAAAACGGGCTGAGTTTTGCTGCTCACAGACGGCCAAGACATTATGCACAAGGAAACCATGTTTGATCGTGTTCCCTGAATCTATTTTATAACTTGTAAACTGTTGAATATGATGATGCCAGACTATTTTGCGTCCCACGCCTCACTTACAATTGTTGTTTAATGTGGCTTTAAACATTAGTGTGTGTTTATTCACAAATATTCATTAGAGCGGACTGGTATTAATCTGTAATGAACCTTTATTTCATTTCCTTGCAATTAAACTTTATTTCTCAAGTTCCAAAAATGACGAATTGACCTCGCTTTCAAATTGATATGGCCGACACGTGAATAAGGTGTATGCCATCCCTCTTTGCACCTAATACACCAATTGACTGACGCACACGACTGTCACTTGTGAATTAGGCTGGTTACCTAATTCAGTGAGATCACTGACTGATTGCCACAGGAGGTTCGCGTATTCATGTAGGCCTACATCACGTAGCATCTACACCACATGTGCATTAGTCTGGCGCCGCTTGTTTCATGTACGTTCACGAGACACGTGTAGGCAATAACAAATTAAGTCAAGTCTCAAGTTCTTCGTGTCTTAAGCGCCTTGAACGTCATTTTGAAGGATTTGGCGCTATATAAGAATATTATTATTATAC